CTAAAAGGTACAAAACACTGATGAAATAAATCAAAGGCAGCCTGTAATGCAGATATACTGTATCCATGGAATGTTAAGATTCTGATTTCCCCTCAAAATGCAGGAGTTAAGAAATCAATGAACTATTTCTGAAATTCTTATTGGAAGGCAAATGGAACTAGAACAGCTCCTATAATTCTGAAGAACAACAGAGTTGGAACACTCACACTATCTGATTTTGAGACTTAATAACCTCAGATATGCAGATGACACCACCCTCATGGAAAACTAAAGAGCCTCTTGATGAAAGTGAAAGAGGAGAGTGAAAAAGTCTGCTTAAAGTTCAACATTCAGAAATCTAAGATCATGGCATCCAGCCCCATCACTTCATGGCAAATAAATGGGGAAACAATGGAAACAGTGTCAGAGTTTATTTTTCTGGGCTCCAAAATCACTGCAGATGGTGAGTGCAGCCATGAAATTAAAAGACGCTTACTCCTTGGAAGAAAAGTTATGACAAACCTAGACAGCATATTAAAAAGCAGAGATATTACTTTGTCAACAAAGGTTCATCTAGTCAAGGCTATGATTTTTCCAGTGGTCATGTACAGATGTGAGAGTTGAACTATAAAGAAAGCTGAGCGCAGAAGAATTGATGCTTTTGAACTGTGGTGTTGGAGAAGACTCTGGAGAGTCCCTTGAACTGCAAGGAGATCCAACCAGTCCATCCTAAAGGAGATCAGTCCTGGGTGTTCATTGGAAGGACTGATGTTGAAGCTGAAACTCCAATACTTTGGCCACCTGCTGAGAAGAGCTGACTCATTGGAAAAGATCCTGATGCTGGGAAAGATTGAGGGCAGGAGGAGAAGGGGATGACAGAGGATGAGATGGTTGGATGGCATCACCAGCTCAATGGACATGGGTTTGGGTGGACTCCGGGAGTTGGTGATGGACAGGGAGGCCTGGTGTGCTGTGGTTCATGGGGTCGCAAAGAGTCAGACACGACTGAGCGACTGAACTGATAAACCTGCAGCAATCAGAACTGTGTGGTACTGGAGAATGTACAAATGTATAAATCAACAGAACAGAAACAGAATCACACATATGTGCTCAACTGATTTTCAATAATGGCAAAAAGGCAATTTAATGGAAGAAGGATAGTTTTTTTTCAACAAATGATGCTGAAAAAATTAGACATATATGCAAAAAAAAATGAACTTTGATCCATTCCTCATAACGTATATAAAAGTTAACTCCAAGGGATCATTTATCTAAATGTAAAACACAAGACTATAAAAATTTTTTGAGGAATACATGGGGTGAAATCTTTGTGACTGTGGGTTAGGCAAAAATTTCCTAGATAAAACACCAAAAGTACAATTTGTATAAGCAAAAATTGATAAACTGGACTTAATCGGAATTTAAACCTTCTTTTAAACTTAAAGCTCTTTGAAAGACATTGTTAGAGGAATAAAGAGATAAGCCACAAACTGGGGCAATATTTACAAGTCACATATCCAAATAACTTTATCCAGAATACATAAAGAACTCTTCAAAGTCAATAAGAAAACAACCCGCCAAGTCGGAAGAATGGGCAGACCTGAAGAGATACTTGACAAAAAAAAGACAGATGTATGGGGAAAACAAGCAATGGAAGCATGATTTAGAAACAACTGAGTTTCAAACAACACCTTCAACTGGTGACTGTATAAACAGTCACCTAGCCATACAGTAGAATACTACTCAACCCTAAAAAGTGCCACAATGTAGATCAGCCTCTGATGCCTTATGTAGAAGCAGCCTAACTCAAAGGCTACATAGCACTGTGATTCCATGTGCACAATCCCATTTTTATGACATTCTGAAAAAGGCAAAGTTACCAAGGACAGAAGACAGATCAGTGGTTGCCAAGGACAGGAGTGGGGAAAAGGAATGATACAAAGGAGCACAAGACAATTTCAGGGTGTGAAGAACCTGTTCTGTATGTTGATCATGATGGTGACTATATGACTATGCATTTTTCAAAATATCACAGAATTTTATATTAAAAATAATAAAATATTTTATGAGTAAAAAAGATACGAGGCAAATATGGCAAAATGTTAAAATCTGGCAAAGCTAGGTGGCAGATGTCCAGGTGTTTATAATGTTTTCTGTACTTTTTTATATGTCTAAAGTATTTCATGATAGAAAGTTACATTTTTAAATTATTTTTACTCAAAAGTAATGATTTTTTAATGACTAAAAAAAACTTATCCTCTGATGTGGCATCACCTATGCAGCATTTTTACTAAAAATGTCCAACCTGGACACCATCATGAGGAAACTGACAGACAAATTCAACTTGAAGGATATTTTGCAAAGCAACTGCCTAGCAGGAGTAACTCTGTAAGTTTCAATGACATCAAAGATACAAAAAAGTCAGAGAACTAACCCAAAATAAAGGAGACTAAAAGGTCATGGCAACTAAATGTATAATTTTTTATTGGATCCTGGATCAGTGAAAACAAGTTATAAAATATATTACCTGAACAACTGGAGAAATTTGAGTGTGGACTATGTATTAGTATTGTTGTACCAACATTACATTTCTCAAGTGTGATAATTATACTATGGTTATGTAAGAGAAAGTCTTTTGTTCTTAAGAAACACATGCATAAGTATTTAGACTTCACAACTTATTCTCAAATGGTTCAACAAAAGAAGTCAACAATTCTATAAAATAAAGAAATACGGGCTTCCGCATTGGCTCAGTGGTAAAGCCTGCAATACAGGAGTTGCAGGAGATGTGAGCTTGATCCCTGAATGGGAAAGATCCTCTGGAGCAGGACATGACAACCCACTCTAGTATTCTTGCCTGGAGAATCCCATGGACAGACGAGCCTGGCAGGCTACAGTCCCTAGGATCGCAAAGAGTCAGACATGACTGAAGTGACTTAGCGTGCATAAAGAAATGTGCAAATATGTGCAAAAATGTTAACAATTTTGATGCTAGGTATAGAGTATATGGTTATTCTCAAATATTGCTTTTGTAACCTGTTTTCAAGGAATTTGAAACTACAAAATACCACATTGGAGAAAGATGTTTTTAAAAAATTTTAGACGTTAAAAAATTTTTTAAGGCACCATAGATACTTTGTAGTTTCTAGAATGTTTAAATTTTAAAAAAAAAATCTGCTACTAAAGAAAAACAGACTCACAGATACAGGAAACAAGCTAGTTGTTACTAGTCGGGAGAGGGAAGTGGGGCCAAAAAAGGATTAAGGGATGAGACACAAATTACTACACATAAAATACATAAGCAACAAGGATATCTTGTACAGCACAAGAAATTACAACCATTATTTTGTAATAACTTTTAATGGAGCATGATCTATAAAAATACAGAATCACTGTGCTGTGCTCCTGAAACTAATAAAATACTATAAACTAAAAAAAATCTGCTACTAGAACCTAAAAAATGTACAAAGGATCAGTTTTACCAGCTAGAACAACGGTATCAAATTGCAACTTCTTCCCTGTGCTTACTTTCCCCACTGGGCTCACAATTCCCCCCACCTCCACCTCTTTTTTTAAAAATTAATTTATTTTAATTGGAGACTAATTATTGTACAATATTGTAGTGGTTTTTGCCATACATTGACATGAATCAGCCATGGGTTTACATGTGTTCCCCATCCTGAACCCCCATCCCAACCCTCAGGGTCATCCCATCCACCTCTTACACCAAGGTCAGGGACTCCTGCTTCTGGCCAACGCCATAGGTAAAGCTGCCCACACTCGGTCATCACCTTACACATTTTTTTTCCCCCTGTGTGTCTACCTAATTTCCATTAGATAAATCCCGACCTAGGTACTGAATCCACCTGTCCCACATTGCAGGCAGATTCTTTACCATCTGAGGCACCAGGGAAGCCCTTCGAAAAATATTATCTATGTAAAATTTTGGTCCACTTTCTTCTCCTTACCTCTACCATTCAAACTTGAATACTTTGCTTTTACTCAAGTAAAAGTAGGATTAGCTATCCGGCATGAGAAATACACCACACCATTAAATTAATATGATTTAACTGAATTAAAGTGTGTTCTTTATTATTTCCCAGGAATAGTAACTTATCTTTCCTACCTGTCGTTTTCCTTTACCTTCCTTTATCTGAGTAACTATGTAATGAGTGCGTCTTTTCCCACATTCAGTAACAGGAGTGGGTTAAGTGTAATTTAGAACATCAGTAGCTGGACTCATCATTAATCATCAATTCATGTTCAGTTCCCCTTAGTATACAGTATTTGCATAATGACTTCACATGTTTCAGTCAAGTTCACTTTCCAACATCAATTATAAAAATTAAGATGTTAATTTTAAAACGTCATAAAAATGCCAGACTATATACACTTGGTCCACTTTTGGTTGTGCTGTCGTGAGAAGTCCTTGGACAGCCACTGCTTCAATTTCAATCCAGCCTCCAGTGGGCAAAGCACCCCCTCGGTAAGCAGCTCCAGCAGAAAAACCACTCTTGACATTGTTTGTGGATTTCACTGACAGTACTTAAATCACACACTCAGCCAGCAGAAGAGTTGTTTCTATCACCTTAGTGAGGTCACGGCCTGCAGCTTTCAGAGTCCCCTGTCCAACGGGGATGGGGCCCCGCAGGAGAGGACCCGCATCCGGGGAGAGGAACAGGTCTACACCCTGCGGACGCGGGGCGGAGGGGACGGCGGCTCCCCCTGCGCCGGTCCCGGACCGGGTGCGTGGGAGAAGGTGTCAGACTCCGTCCCTCCCCCCGAGGTTCTGAACACAAGACATCTAGTTCAATCTGAATTTCGGAGAAACAACGAACAACTTTATTCCTAAGTACGTCCCAACCACCGCATGGAGCACCCCCTCAGTGAAACTTTCCGGTTGTTAATCTGAAAAGCGCCCAGGAGGAGCCCGTGCGGAACCCCTTCGCGCGGGCCCCCACGGGGCGGCCCCTGCACCAGAGCGGGTGAACGGCCGGGCCCCGGGCTTCGCGCTCGCTCACCTTAAGCACCAGGACCTGGAGCATCTTCCCCGCGCCTCGCCGGCCGCCCGGCGGACTAGCCCTGGAGAGACGCGCACCGCCGCGGCCTCGCCCCAGTCCTGCTCTCCTTGTCGCTACTCCCTCGCGAAGAACTTTGGAGGCGAAAACCTGCAGGGCCGGGGTCCGAGGGGGGCCGCGCCTCCTCCCGGCTCAGCGCCGCGGAGCCCGCGAGCCCAGCTCCGGCCACGCACCGCCGCCGCCAACAGCGGGCGACTCGCCGAGCTCCGAGCCCGGACGCCGCCGGTGGGGGTGGGGGCGGCGCGCTCCGGCGCCCGCACCGCCCCCAGCCGCCCAACCCCAGACCGCAGAAGCCCCGAGACTTCCAAAAGCCACACGGACGCCAACGGCCGGACAACCGCCGCAGCCCTGCGCACTGCGCCCTGGAGGCGGGGGCAGAGGGGCTGGGGGGCCGGGGGGCGGAGCTTCGGGGAGGGGCGTCACGTGGCTCGTTCCCCGGTCCACGCGAGCTTCCGGCGACCCCACGATCGCGCGAGTCCGCGCGGCGCGGAGTGGCCGCCTAGAAAGCCCTTGTCCTGCGACTCCCACTTTGCCCAAAGTCCATCTCATGGCCTTGAGGATTAGGAAGAGTCCCGGAGCACACACACCCCCGACCCCATCTCCCCCACCCCACCCTCATTCCCTCCCCACCCCGCCTCCCGCCTTCCTGGTCTCCTGACCACATCCTCTCCGACCTCCAGCTTCTGGTATGGCTCCTAGTCCCCACTTCCCTCCCACCTGGCCCTCACCTGGAAGTCCTCTCCACGTGTCTTGGACAAGCTTGTGGTCACCGCAGATCGCAGACTGCGGTGTCGTGGACCATGTTTTGGCCCGGATGTGTTATTTTTTGTTGTTGAAGCGCCATAGGGTTCTTAGAAGTTTTCAACTCTTGGAAACCTCTGGTTTGTCACCTGAAACTTAGGATTCAGTGGTTCTCAGAATTAGATGAGGTCACCCTGTGTGAGGGGCTTCCCTGATAGCTGGTAAAGAATCTGCCTGCAATGCGGGAGGACCTGGGTTCAATTCCTGGGTTGGGAAGATCCTCTAGAGACAGGAACGGCTACCCACTCCAGTATTCTGGCCTGGAGAATTTCATGGACTGTATAAATCCATGGGGTCACAAAGAGTCGGACACGACTGGGCAACTTTCACCCTGTGTGAAATAAAGGACACCCAAGAAGCACTCAGGAAGGTTAACTTTTATTACTGTCTCAGGGACCTGTTTCCAAGGCTTGAGTAAGCCAACAAACAGGAAAGAAAGTATTGCTTAAATATCGAAGGAACCTCAGCTTTAAAAAAAAAGTGGGGGGGGGGGTTGCTGGGCCTAGGTGGCTTTACAGATGAATTCTTTACTATTTCAGTTGTGAAAAAAACCATAAAATTTCTTAACGTTCATGTCAACAAGATGGCAAAAGACACACCAGTCTAGAAAGAACATGACAATCATAGGGTTATATATTTAGGAAACAGAACACTCTCATTAAGCTTTCAAGTATATTTATTTTACCTTGGACCACTTTAAAAGTTTTTTTTTTAACTTTTTATAATATTGCTTCTGTTTTAGGTTTTTGTTTACTTGGGCAGGAGACATGTGGGATCCTAGTTCCTTGATGAGAAATTAGAAACTGCACCCTTTGCGTTGAAAGGCAAAGTCCTCCAGGGAAGTCTCAAGCTTCCAGTTTTAAATATAAGCTTCAGTTTACAAGTCAAGCAAACGTGCACTTAAAGCTTCAAGCAGGAGAGCTGGAGAGGAGCCGTGTGCCTGTGGCCGCCAGGCAGGAGGGAAACACAACAGAAGTACATGAAATTCACCTGTTGCTGACTTGGGCTAACCAGGCCCCACCCCCCCAGTCAGGCACCTGTCAGGACCAGAGCACCTGAAAGCTCCAGACCCTGTCAAAAAAAGATGGGAAATGGCCAGGTCTGTTTTAAATAGGAGGTCCCTGAGGCAGTTCTCAAGCCCCAAAGTAGATACAGAGTACAGCCAGTTGATGATTTTTTACTTTTGAGACAAGCCTGGGACTCTTGATGAAAGTGAAAGAGGAGAGTGAAAAAGTTGGCTTAAAGCTCAGCATTCAGAAAACTAAGATCATGGCATCTGGTCCCATCACTTCATGGCAAATAGATGAGGAAACAGTGGAAACAGTGTCAGACTTTACTTTGGGGGGCTCCAAAATCACTGCAGATGGTGATTGCAGCCATGAAATTAAAAGACACTTACTCCTTGGAAGGAAAGTTATGACCAACCTAGACAGCATATTAAAAAGCAGAGACATTACTTTGCCTACAAAGGTCCGTCTGGTCAAGGCTATGGTTTTTCCAGTGGTCATGTATGGATGTGAGAGTTGGACTGCGAAGAAAACTGAGTGCCAAAAAATTGATGCTTTTGCACTGTGGTGCTGGAGAAGACTCTTGAGAGTCCCTTGGACTGCAAGGAGATCCAACCAGTTCATCCTAAAGGAGATCAGTCCTGGGTGTTCATTGGAAGGAGTGATGCTGAAGCTGAAACTTCAGTACTTTGGCCACCTCATGCGAAGAGTTGACTCATTGGAAAAGACCCTGATGCCAGGAGGGATTGGGGGCAGGAGGAGAAGGGGATAACAGAAGATGAAATGGTTGGATGGCATCACCAACCCTATGGACATGAGTTTGAGTGAACTCTGGGAGTTGGTGATGGACAGGAAGGCCTGGCGTGCTGCGATTCATGGGGTCGCAAAGAGTCGGGCACGACTGAGTAACTGAACTGAACCGGGGCTCTTCACTGCAGTGCTGCAAAGCTTGCATCTGAACACACCTCCCCACCAGCTAAAAAATACAAAGAAACTATATGGGGCTAAAAATAACAGTGCAGTTGGGGCAAATTCTGGACCCAAATGATACAGAGACCAAAAAACCTAACTGCCATTTCTGAAGAGCTAGGAGCAAAAACCTGGGTGTCTGGAGCAAAAGAAGAGTACTGCGCATGCCACCTGCACTCAACATCACAAAGAGGTGGGCAAACCACCTAAGCCATCTCTCTAGCCTGAACCCTGGCCACACCCCTACCCTTACCCCAAATAAGGAACGAGCTCACTGCCCCACACATACTCAGGGGTACAGGGGCCCCATTAAAGCCCTGCCGGAATTTATCTGCCCTCTCTAGTCAATTTCTATTGATTGGGGAAGCCCAAGAACCCTGGTGGGTATCACTGATTAGATACCCTGCTACTATATGGTGTTTCCCAAACTTTTCACAGCATGGCTCACAGAAACAAAAATATTAATCAGTCTGGGCTGAAGTGTCAAGACTGCTGCAGTGGGAATTCATTGTGTGGGGCTTCAGCCACACAGACCTCTGGAGGCTGAAGGGCGTCAGTATCTGTACCTGTCTTCCCTTCCCACAGGTAGTGAGAAGCACTTTTAAAGTGATGGAAAGATAAGATGAATACAAAAAGATTTTAGGACAGTGCATTTTTATAAAGTGGTTAAATTCTGGTATCAAACCCTGACCAAGATAACAACTCCAGACTAATGAAGGTGCTAAAACCCCAATAAAATGCTACCAGTAAAACCTAAGACCAAAAAAAATTAGGAATGCAGGAGGTTTAATATTGGTCAGTCACAAACATGACTAGCTCATGGCCCAGCAAGCTACCAAAAGTTGTCATGAACTGATGGGCTCTCACAGGCACCATGGGGTGATGACGGGGCTCCCCATCATGGGAATGATACTGTGGTTCTGCAAAGGGCTTCGTGGAGAGAGAGCTCTTCTTAGATTTTTTTGCTCCCCAGCACCAAGAGAAGGGAGAACAGGAGAGAAGACAAAGCATTAGGAATGGCAGGAGGAGGAGTCTGAGTTAACAGGACCTGTAGTCATGCTAGACCAGTCTCTTCTGTTGGTGTGCTCATGGTGGCTTGAGAGGTATTGGGAGAAGCTGATCTAAGTTTTCCAGTACTGACATAATTCTAAAAAATGGGCATGACGGGGACATTCTTTGCTCCCCTCCCTCCCAGATCCCTCCCCCCCAGATCCCTCCCCGACCAAATGTAGTTCAGATGATCTTACCTTTGAGTCATCAGTTCTCATAGGCAGTGTGTACTTTCCCAGTTTTAAAATATTCTTGTTTTAAAAGGGATAAAAAACAAGTTTGGCCTTAAAAGCTGGCTTCATTACTTTGTCACCTGATTTGGAACTTTTTAAATTCTTTTATTCTGCATTAATCGAGAGGAAGTGAATTTTGACGTTATGGCATTCAAACCAAAAGCAGAAGCTTGGTGCCTGTCCAGGGTTTTTCCCCAGACACCTCAGTTATCTTTGATGGGACTTGCTCTGTCCATCAGAGAAGGTCTTCTTCATGGTTCCCACTGATACTATACATCTGTCAGATTACCCTTGTTTCTAATATACCTTTTCCATAGCTCAATATTGTGTTACTCACTGAAAGATTCTCATATTTCCATTTCTAACTGTACATACAAACTAAAATTAACTTATTGCTTCCTATGATGAATTTCATTTCATTTGATTAGTACTCTCAGGTTTTGCTTTGTTTCTTTTTATTTTTAGCCCTCATGCAGGATTGTTTTTAAGCAACTTATAATTAGGTTTAATTTTTCTTCAGTTTTAAATGAGATGTAATTGACTAATCATGTTATATAAGCTTGAAGTGTGCAACATAATGGTTTGATATATGTATATATTATAAAATGATTACCATGTATGTTTAGTTAATATCCATTCGTTATATAACATAGTTTAAAAAGTTTTTCCCCTAGAGACAAACACTTCCTATCTACTCTTTTCTTTTAATGTTTATTTGGCTGCACCAGGTCTTAGTTGCAACACTCAGGATCTTCAATCTTTGCAGTGTGCAGGATCATTAGTTATAGCACGTGGGATCTAGGACCCCAATCAGGGATTGAACATATGCCTCCTGCATTGGGAGTATGGACACTGGCCCACCAAGGACATCCCTACTTTTTTTTTTTGTAAGTTTAAAAAAAAAATT